AAACACAGTTCTTGAAGGTTAAAAGCAGTTTATTGAATGTGTTTGCCTAAAATGCACAGAAGTGTTTAAAGATTCCCGAAGAAAGACATAATTTCTTTTACATATTTATGTCCAGCAAGCAGGAGTTTCATCCAGTAACTCATTGATCAGCTTGTGTTTGCTGAATACATAACAACTGATTCAGACACCAGAGCTTCAAGTTTGTGATTTATCAGCACAAATAATAGTGTCTGTCACACTCTGCCCTACGCTCCGCTTTCTCCGTCATTCCTCTCGGCTGTGTGCCTTTTATTGTAACTGCATTCATTTCAGGCTTTTCTCTTTAAAGTGTCTGTTTCTTAGATGTCGTCTAAATTGAATCCCTGACGTACAGCCACAACAGCCGGAGCAGCATTCTCAAAACAATTTGACACTCTCTGTAACATTTTTTAAAAATATTAAAATAATTTTTAAGTTTTGGCATTAAGTGAATTTACAACCCAGAGTTGTTTTCAAAATATTTTACCTCCTTGTTGAACAGACAGAATCCCTCTTTTACTGGGCCAGCAGATTCATTTGGAGCAGAAAGAGCCATCTGGCTGCACAATTTCTCCTCTTTCTTGGTGTAGTATATTTTGTAATTGTGAAGCTAAGCAACCACGTACAGGTCTGTATCATGGTAGCTCTTGTTATTAAAAGTTATGTAAGAAATTAGGAACGGAAGATCACATTTATAGATCTATGTACATACACATTGCACTCTGTGTGGAGGTGTATGATGGAGTGGAGGTGTTAGTAGTTTTCTCTGCTTTGTGGGTGGGGGAAGAGCTGAGCTCTCAATAGAGCCCTGATTAGATTGATCCACAGTGCTCTTGTTTACAAGCGGCCTCTTCACAATCGGCACAGTTTAATAGCATGCTGTCCCAGAAGGGTTGTTGCATCCGTGTCCGTTTTGTTCCTCGGGGCAGGGAAAACAAAAGTGCCGGGAAGGGAGAAGGGGAAAGCAACCTCAGGGGAACTGTGAAACGGCACTGGAGCTCTCTACCTCCGGGCTTCTTGCCAAGATAACGTTTCATCTCACCCACTGATACTTCTTTTATAGGAAACCACAACACAGTCTAGAGTACTACCAGTCTTTATAGGCCAAGAGCTACTCCGGTTTCACCTAGTCAACATGAGAGTCAGTGACTTTGTAGATGGCAGAAATCACAAATGAACCTAACACACTCCCACTGAGCTGTAAGTGGTCTAATTTTAATATTAGGGCCTCCTCAAAGTAAAGCTTGTTTCTGCTGAAGAGAGCTGTGCCACTGTCTTCATCACGTACTCCTACAATAGGATGCAGCTCACACAGGTCCCTCAATAAATCCCAGGCTGACACAAAAGCTGTCAGTGGACTGCTGCTGAATAGATTAATAAGATTTCCATAATTAGACAGGCCCCTGACAATAGGATCCTTCAGGCTTTGTCTCAGGGCCAACTGGTTTGTCCGAGCTGCGCACGTCTGCTGGACGGTCGTCCGCCACAATGGCCGCACAGACAGTAAGGCGGTCAGCAGAACATCTGTCTCTCCTGGGGCCAAGATCACACAGACACACACAGTGGGAAGTTTCATGTGCATACACACGGATCTTATCAACCTCCTTGCAGCCACGTAAGGCCATCAGTCAATAGAAAATCAGTCTCATCACATAATTGTGTATACTTAACTTGGTCACAACTGATAACCATAAATTCAACAGCTCAGCTGATAAATATATTAAATAATTTCCATCTTCTGATTGGATCACAGAGCAACTTTACTTATATTGACAACAGCAACAAAAGCTTCCAAAATAATTGAATGACAATAGGATTCCCATTTTCAAACATACTAATGTCCTTGTCCAGTCTTAATAAATGTTTTTTTTTTAAGAGTTTTTTTTTCCATAATCCTCTAATGTGAGTAAGATGAAAGTAGATGCGGATGCAGCAGGAAGGGAAAATGTCACAGCATTGGAGCTGGAAAATGTATCATGATACAAGTACAAAAATGATTTCCTGATTCTGGATTATAGCAATGTGTTGTCTTATATGTATGTTTTATAGGATAAATACAATCTAGCATTGTATCACAACATATATAAGTTTATCTAATGATTGCAGTACTACCCGCACTATGTGCACATTGTCCTGATTCCCTACTTCTAATCTTAGCTTTCTTTCCACCCCTCCAGTGAATTAATCTACACGATGGCTCTGATTTAAGCAGAAGTGTAGATTAGAGCTTGCTCTGCTCATTGTGAAGTGGTACTGCTCTAAAAACCACAATCCAGCAGAAGATCTAATTACATGGAAACGGCTAAACTGCACTGCAACCCTGCTGTGTTTATCTGAGGTGAATGGCAGCCTATCACTCATCTAGCTCACTATGTGCATACAGCAAAAATTATATAGAGTATAGTAGAGTATAATACACTTTTTTAAAAAGACTTATAGAAAGTAATTACTCTCAGATTTAACAGTAAATTGGTTCTTTAGATATGGGCAGCTGGTCATTACATTGGGGTAGTGTGAGAGAAGTCCATTCTGTATTGGTGCTACTCTAATGATGGAGTGGACAGCAGTTAGCCCGCCTCACTGAGTCCTCTAATGTCCGCTCCAGTCCGCTTAGAGAGGACGAAGTGCCTGCTGTCCACTCTTTTCCCTCCCTCCATCCCTCCCTCTCCATCCCTCCCTCCCCACTGCAGGTTTTATGAGCTCCCCTGGGCTCTCATCCATCTCTGTCACACACAGGCCCCATTATTGGGGCTGCTCACAAACTGGTTGGGCTGCAGATGGGAAGGGCCTGCAGGACATATATGGTTTCTGCAGCCTGGACAAAGACCTGCAAGTCAGACCACAAAAATATGTAGTCATCAGGGTGTGGACAAGACAATGTCTTCAGCATGTTTGTAAAAAAATACAAGTGAATAGAGTGTGAGAATGTTCCTTTTACATCCCGCTGTGGTGGGTGTGTTGGTTGACTGAAGCTTAGGGAAGTACTTGAACTGGTTTGGCCATTGGAAACTTAAGGCAGTGGATTTGAATATGAAGGACATGATAATCCAATGGCCATCTGGTCTGCTGGTCTCATCTGACTGAATAAATAACGGACGTAATCTGAAAACACACATGGGGAGGTTTGCAAAGCGGGTAAAGAAAGAGGCCAAAGTTTAGGAGTGAGCGGGAGTGCAGCAGCAGAATCACAGGCTCTGGATATTGAGATTTGATTTAAATGGCAATAAGAAGCCTGGCTCCACACACACAGACATCCATGAATAATGAATCATTAGGCGTCCACTGAAGGAAAAGGAAGAGAGGCCAGTAATAATGGCTTTTGCCATATTCCTTTTCACCTCTCTGTTTCTGTAGGTGAGTACTCCTCACCTCAGGGTAAATCGTGACAGTTCAATAATGCCAAGCTATGTGTGGAATGTCAGCTGATGCCTCAGCAAGAGGTAGCGCTAGTCTTCACGAAATAGACGATTCTATAACAATTGTATCGTGATATATTTGGTTAATACACACATAAACACATACACTTAAATCTGAAAATTCACAGTCGATCATACAGACACAAATAAATGGCCCTGAGAGAGTAAACAATAGCATGCAAACACTGAACATTAGTAAATGCATTATATATTTGGGCAAAGGAGTTGTTAGACTGCCAAATACGATACGAAGCCTGCAGAATATTTTACTGGAAAATAAGGCCTTGAGGCACGAGGGGACCTGGAGGGAAAACAATTCATGGGACAAAATGTCTTTTTTCCACTGCCCTCTCTCCTGTTAGCTCGGCGATGTGCTCGGTGCGTAGCAGCCATGATCAATCAGACCTCGGCCAGTGCTGAAGTCAGCCAGAGGAACAGACATTCCACTTTCCCAATGTTCCATGGGAGACTGTGCTGATGAATAGCACACTATGCTGCAATTCCAAACCCAACCCCCCTCTCTCTTTCTTTCTTTCTTTCTTTTTCACTCTCTCCACGCCACTGTCCACACACACACACACACACACACACACCCTCCTTTCCCTCTCCCTCCCTTCCCTCCCTCTGTCCAGCCGGCCACTGGGCCTTTGGAGCTCTGGTGTACTGTGGGTGGGTGTATTGGTGGGTGGTAGGTGGGGGTGCAGGGCGGAGAGAGCAGGCATTCAGAGCAACATGCGCAGGGAGATAACAATAGCTCCTCTGGGAGACCTGCAGATGTTAGCAGTACAGGGAATAGGAGTGGGATCTTATCGCAACAATATAAGCTGGGAAACTACAAAACAACACATGCAACCTACCGATCTGCTTTCACTAGCTTTCTTTCTGCAGCTTTCTCTTTCTTCCACCACCTCCCTTTTACCTTCCTCTCCCTCTCTGAGAAATGTGAGCCCCTTCTGCTGATGGTAACACTGAAAAAGATTCCTTTCCAAACAGAAGAAAGGCAATTTCTAATCATAGGTTGCTTAGAAGAGGGGGGGGGGGATTTGGGCCATGTCTCACTGTGTAACTTTGTACTGTCTAGTCTGCTAATCTACATCAAAATTAATCTATTGTATTGTTATTTTTGGAAACAGACACACTTCAAGTGTATAATTGCATAATAAATATAAAAAATGCCCTGCTATTCTTTTTTAATAAGATTTTCTTTGTATACTGAGTCTCCGCAGTGTCTCAGCTCAAGATGAATAGTGTATCAGTGACAGAACCATTTCACTTTAACAAGTGTAAAGCAAAGTGACATAACTTTTTTATATATTGGCGATCTTGGAACCTCAGATGTGGTTTGCATTGATAGATGGAAGATGGAAGAAGAACAATTCTCTATTTTCCAGCCACAGGAAAGGAATCAATTGATAAAGATGCTACATGGACCCAAATGGATTCATATCATGACCACAAAGCAGTGCAGTTCTTATAATAATATAATCAGTCCTACACTCCTTTTTCTGACATAATTGTATGTAGAGTAACCTTATGACCTTCTTTCCCTGTGTTTTTATTTTTTAGGCCTGTTAAAGATGCACTGGAACCCAGAGCATGCCCAGCCTCTCAGCCAGTGGCCTGAGCAGCACCTGGACGTCTCCTCCACCACCTCCTCTCCTGCCCACAAGTCAGAATTCTACGCTGGCCGCGGCCGCAGCTCCAGCAACTACGCCTGGGCCAACGACGACATCTCTGCTCTCACAGCCTCCAACCTGCTGAAGCGCTATGCTGAGAAGTATGCTGGTGTGCTGGACTCACCATATGACCGGCCACCTACTGTGGGCTCCTACCCAGAACCAGGGGCGTTTGGGGGCCTCAGCGTCCCAAAGACTGAGCTGGAGCCCTGGCCAATGTCGCACAGCACTGATGCCTCCTATTCCCTGGTGCCTCCTGGAGGCCATGACAGCCTCTCAGGTTCCAAGGCTGTAGCCACATCTGCAGGCCCTCCAGGGGTTGGTAGTGTGTCGGTGGTGAACAGTAACCTCTCAGACTCTGGTTACAGTGGCAGCAGCTCCTGCAGTGGCTCCAGCGAGTACCCATCGAGCTACAATGGCACCTATCTTTCCTCAGGGTACTGTCCCCAAACCAGTGCAGCACTTCCCCCTGCCTCTCTCCACACTCTTCAATCCACCCCCACTCTGGTGGCCAGCTATAGCCCTACCACACCTGTCTATAACTACCCCCCAAGCACATACCCTCCCCAGAACAGCCTTGGCCCCACCTACAGCCACCCCTCTGCAACTTACCTGCCCTCAGGTCTACCAGCCCCTACTCCTGTTCCCTCGAGGCCCACAGTGGTAGGAGGCAGCTATAGTTACCAGAGCACCAACCTTGGGACATCTGAGTCTGGAGGGACATTAAAACGAAAAGCATTCGAAATGAGTGTAGAAGAGGATGAGAGCGGGGATGGGTCTCGTTACAGGAAATATAGCTATGACTCCTTAAAGGCTGGGGGAAACTCACCCTACAGTGTGAATGACAAAACAGAGTGCCGGGGAAATGGCTTTAGCAGTTCAGGCAGCACAGACCCTCAAACCTTCAAGCCCAGCAAGCCCTCCTCCCAGCCCCTGGTGTCTCCTCAGTATGGGGCAGCAGGGGAGTACAGCCCTCCAGCAGGCATGACAGGGGAGAATGGTGTGGCGGAGCAGGGCTTCATCCAACAGCAGCAGCATCGCTCCCAGGCCCACAAGCGCTCTCCATTGTGTGCCCCGACTGAAATTATGAAGAGCCCAGACCCCCGACTGTTGGACCTTGTCAGTGGGGAGTTACTGGACTGCAGCCCGGCGCTGGGCTGGGGTGAGCTGGCTGGGCTCACCCATGTCAAGACTGCCCTGGAAGAGGACCTTCTGTGGCCTGTGTTGAGGCCCAGTCCAGTGGTGCGGCCCCCAAGAACCGTCCTGCTGTTTGGACCCCGGGGAGGGGGTAAGACGACGTTGACTCGTTCTTTGGCTTCACAGCTTGGGGCTTCCTTCTATCGGCTGAGTGGAGCCATGCTGGCCTCTAAAGGGAAGGCTGAGGCAGAGCACATTCTGGGGTGTCTTTTGCAAGTAGCAGGGGCACGGCAGCCCTCCGTGGTGCTGCTTAGCCAGGTGGAGGCCATGGAAGAGGAGGGGCTGAGGCAGACACTGCTGACCACCCTGGAGAAAGCCCAGGTGGGGACCCCAGGTCTGGTGATCCTTGTATGTGCCACTGGCAGACCAGATCTGCTGCAAGATGCAGTTCATCGGAGCTTTGCCAAGCGGTATCACGTTGGCCTGCCAGATGTGGGTATGCGCAGGCAGGTGCTGCTGCAGACCCTGTCGCCCCAAGGCTGCAGCCTGAGTGAGAGGGAGCTGAGCGCCGTGCTGCAGCGCACAGAGGGCTTTTCAGTGTGGGAGCTGCTTCAGCTCAGCCAGCAGGCACTCTCCTCAGCATCCTCCCCCACTGGGGCCATGCATGGCCACCCCACATCCTCCAAACCCCCAGCCTTCACAGACTTTGAGAATGCCTTCTGCAAGGTGCGCCCACACACCACCACAAAAGAACTGGACACTTGTATAGAGTGGAGCAAGATGTATAACCACTGAGAAAGCAGCCAGTCACTGTACTCGGACTGCATTACGACCCTGTCTCTGCTTTGACATGGCAAGCCTTGGGAATGTTTTGTTGTTGTTTTGTATTTACAGATTATGCAGCCAAAAGAGCCAGAGAAGCTCAACAATACGGGAGAGCTGACAAAGTTGTTTTACTGGCAGAAGCATGCCATGGTGTGCTGTTTTTGTTTCCGTATGAATATCCGCAATATTTTATTTTTCCCAAAGAAAAGAAAGATAAATAGGCCTTGTTGAGTGGGGTAGTGTATTAGTCTTTTGGCCAATGGGAAAATCAGATTATATACTATTTGGATACTCTCAGAGATCCTGATTAGCCTTGGTCCAGGACAAAATCAATTATTTGTTGCTAGGTGACGTGGTCCAAGATTATGGATAATCAGGGTTTGGAAAATCCCCCCTTTGACTGCTACTCTCAGGATCCTATTTATTGCCAGTCCACTTCCATGTTATCCTAATGTTGATTTAGTCACTGGATTGTCACTAATTATTCAGTACGAAGGGCTTGGGATCAGCAACATTTCACCAAACAACAGTTTTTGACCAAAAACACGTCAAACCAAATGCTAGAAGAAGACTGCTCCTCAAAATCACAGTTAAAGAATCCTTCTCGAAAGCTTCTCACCAAATTAAAACAGTCCTTATTGTTCCAAAAAGAAAGAAAATCAGATGATCTTTTATTAAATCCAGACATGCAGCTGTCCTTCCCAAGAGTTAAGTTGCAGTTACACTATGTTTGGTTGTAGAAATACTTCACATGTATTTTAGATTTAAGTCACCAATAGTATTATAATCACACTTAAAATGGTACAATTCACGGACAACTTATTATTTTATTATTTTTTGGGTTGTTGTCCTTAACTTCCACATACATTTGTTCTCAACCTCACATTCCTCATTGTCTGCAGTTTTCCTGAGAATCCCACCTAACAGAACAAAACGTACCCACCTGCACACCCAGCTTCTCTGTTTTCTATTTCACTTACTCCTTTTGTTTTCTTAGTATGTAGTCTTGTTTGAAATGCTCAGGAAGAATTTCTTTACCTCAGAAATATGAAATTAAAGAATGTATGTAATCTTAGGGTCTTAGTAGAGAGTGGCGCGGAGTGTGATAAAGGAGCGAGGAGAAACCTGACAGTCTTGTAACACCCACTACAGCTGGGCTTTTACCTCGGGAGAGAAACTTGAATATGCTACAAAGAGTAACATTGAATGTAATTCAGGTATTTCAAAGGATATTTGATGCCATAAATCCATGTATTATTATATATGAATATATAAATACGTTTTCTTTTCTGTTCTTTTACCCTTTATTTTTATTGTAGTTTATGGTGGAGTGATGATTGTCTTCAAGAAATGCTATGTAGAATACAGAAAATATTCCTTTTTTTGTTGGACAAACTGTTTGCAAATATCCGTGTTATTTAGTGTTTACATATTCTGTATATGCATGTCTGCAAAATGTCATTTAAAAATGTAAATATAATGCACACAATCATACAGAGCACAAAATACCTTCCAAAACTACCACAAACAAAAACACAGATCAAATAAAAAAAACCAATTAAAGTCGTTATATGTAGCTTTCAGCAAATCCCAAAGTCTAAAAATTTGCAGTTAATGTGTACATATTGTGGATGAACCCAACATGTAGACAATCCAGAAAATAAATGTCTCCTTTTTCCACCAGTCCTATAGTTCTGTTTTAAGAAGCTGGAAAAACCCGGTCACTGGACCGCAGGTACAGAGGTCGTACGTATTAGACTGTTGCCATGGTCCTGAAGAGGTACACACAGGATGATGTAATATTTCCTACCGCCCATTCCTCCCTCTGTCTCCCCCTCCCTCCGTCCCTCATCATTATTTTTCTCTTTTTCTCTCTCCCTAGTGCAATCTCATTAGATTGGCTTGCCCCCTGGCCACGAGCGCCAGTGGCCATGTGGCGTTGTATCCTCTCCCCAACCCCAGCCCCCCCTCGCCCTTCCCTTATACCGATTCCTCTGGAGTGGAAGTGGTCTGATTGATGTCCAGCAACTCTATATCACAGTGCAGCCGTCCCTCTCCAGCTGGTGGCTTCAGTCATGCCATACAGCCAGATCAATCAGAGTGACCCCCACTGTGCATACTGATCACTGTCTCAGAAACTGAAAACACATTTATAAATTACAGAACAACCGCTGCCTCGAGCGGCACGGTCCAGATAATGCTAGCGATTATTCACAGGTAATTACAGAAATGAATAAATAGCTACAACATTTTGATTTGCTCTTCCCACTGCTCCCAAAAGTTTGTCCAACAAAACAAGCTTTTATTTTTTACATGTTTTGATCTGTTATTGCGGTAACTTTGTTCTTGGTTATTGTACATTTTCTGTAACCATTTCTACCTCATTTTTGCGGCATATTGTACATGAAAGTATTTATTTCATGTCTTTTTTGATGTCTGTTTTAAAAATGATTATAATGTTCTTGAACTGTAATGGTCTACCTCAGAAAAGACTGTATTTTAAGAGAAGAGTATCACACAATATTAAACAGAATTTGTCAATATTGCACTGCGGGTTATTTCTTTGTTTTTCTCTCTGAATTCAGCGGTCAAGGGACTGCAATTGACCAGAGTGCAGAAATGACATGATGGTGGTGCTTACCTTGTGTCTTTGTATCCGTAGCCTGGCTTGACCCCACTGTTAAGGTCAGCACAGTTACTTAAACTGATTGCTAATTCATTTAACGTTTAAACACACAAGACTACATCACTAGGTTTTGGGCTTTTTTTCCAACATCAGCTCGAATTAACTGCACACAGTAGCCTGCATAAACGGCGAGTTGAGGCAGTATGAAAGAAAGAAAACAGGTACATAGTGGGTTCACGTGAAGGTGTGCTGTTGTTAGATAAGCATTTTTGCAGTTGTTGAGGCCATGTGTCGTGAGGGTGTATCTGTGTGGGGGGAAAGATTAGGAAAAAGGGAAGCGTGTGTGTGTGTTAAAGATAAAAACAGACAGAGAGCTGTACGTGTTTTGTGTGTCTACTTGCACATAAGTTTGTCGGCCTGCGTGTGCATGTGTTTCAGCATCCAGAACAGCAACAGAAGCAGAGCTAGCACACCCCTGAGGCTTCAGGCCCCAGCACCAGAGCACAGAGGTCCTTCATATCTGTCACTGTCTGTAAACAACAGCTCGTCCCAGCGGCCTGCCCTCTGCTATTTCTGGCCTTTCCTGACATCTTTCAAAGACTCAAAACTAACTGAGAGAAGAAGTAAATCTGAGCAACTCCGTACAAAGAAGTGAAAGTTCAATCGAAGCCTGAAACAGGATCTATTGCTCCCCAGTTATGGATAGTGGTGTCAATGCTGAGTTTGAAACATCTGTGACTGAATCCCAGTAGAACAGTGGTGCTGGTGGTGTTGATGACAGAGTAATTAATTGTCTAATAATGATGCATAGCTCTGTTATAAGCACAACCTTGTGCAGCGGCTGCCCTTCATCCTCTGATGAAGGATAATCGTTCCTGCAGCTGTTTAAAAAATATTTCCTATCTTTTTCCGTCACAAACTCAATATCATAATCCACAAAACAACATAACCTTGCTGAGGAAGAATGGACCACGTGGAAATGTGACATTGGTATATGAGGCTTATTTATATCTTACACTAATTTCAGACTAGAGGTATGACAAAAGATGTAGTTTTGGTTAATCTGTGTAGACATATATGTTTTTGTGCTGGCAACAGCCACAAATAAAGTGTACAGGTGTTCATACTGTGATAATATTGCTGTAAGGGGATTGGTGATAATGTGGCTCCAGGCTTCTTTCTACATACACTTACATAGTCTGACTTCATGTGAGTCACTTTCCATCTAGTCCAAACGGCTGAAAACCAGTTTGTCCTTTTTGTCCTGAGTGATTCCTGTCCTCCAGGAAGTCAATCATTTTCTTCTCCCGGCTGATTGGAGGTAATTAGGCGAGCAGAGTTTGTAATTGGATAATAAAAGATGTTAATGAGCTGCTGTCCTATTTACTCATACTTAGGCAGTGAATAGCAGGACTCAGCTCTTCTATACTTTCCTCACCAAGGTAATAAAAAATGGTATTGAGAGTCAGTTTATAGATATACATGCCATATATCAGAATACTTACCATGATATAGCTGGGTTTATAAATAGGGTATAGGAATAATTAGTCTTACAATACATTTTATTTAATTTGAAGATGTTGGTAGTTATATTAGAAACTAAAGCCTTTAAACTGTACTTATGGAGGCATTCATTTTGTTTGTTTAGTGTTTATATATTTGTTTGTGTGTTGAAGCAGCATTATGCCTGAAGACTATTATTTCAGAGGGCACTCAACTTAAATATCACATTTCTATGGTGTCCATGTACATCTCTGTTGTGTGCTTCGTTCAGAGGTGCCCTGACAAAAAACTTGAAAGTTATTTATGGTAACAACCTTCATAAAAAAAGGTCATTCTCTGAATCTCATTTCACACGGACACAGTCCTCCTCTCTACCTTTGCCGTGCCGCTGGCCTTCCATTGTCCGGGCCTTGATACTGACAAGGTTGACATCAGAGGAGAGCTCTGACACTGGGTGAGTTAGGACTGCCAGCTGTTAGCAATCAAGTCTATTTTGAAGTCAGGGACACATGGACCCCCAGGGCCAAAGCAGCAACTAGCCCAACCCCTCACTCCCCCCAACCCAGCCTGCAACCTCCGAGCCCCCTGGTACCACAGATAGCCAGCCCAACTGTATTGGTTCCAGATGTTGCAAAGCTGCAGTAAGGGCCCTTTACCTAAGAGGACCCCAAAAATGATGACAGACCTGCGTAGAGAGTGGTAACACAGCCGACAACAATAATTAATAATACAATAACACAAACACTGAGCTAAAGGATGTGTTTCAACACCAAACCTGCAGCCAACAGACATAAAGCTGAAGAAGTTGGACCCATCTGTTGTCAAGCTCTAAATAAACATCACATCTCTTTAATTTAAAGGCTCTACATAAGATTCTCACTCTTGTCCTTGACAGAGAAGGAGCTGCATACTGTGACAGAGAAAGCACTACCACTGCACAGGATCAATGTCGTTTAACATTAGATATTGGATCTTTACTAGAAGGTGTAGCTGTCATCACAAATATTGGCCTGAATACTAAAAAGTCTAATCTTTATGGTAACTGGGAGTCCATCAGACCGGCAATATCTGACAGAGTAGCAAGACAAAGAGAGCACAGAAAAAATGAATCATAATGATCAGATAAAGCTTGCACCTTCAAGTCAGATAAATAGGTTATCTGAAATCTCGATCAAGTGAGGAAAGAATGGCACAATGGAAACTGTTCATGTTCTTTAGAAGGGAATGATCAAATCTTTGCAGCTGCATTGTTTCTGTGTTGGACAGGTCAATCAAAACTCTCAGGAAATTGGGTTTGACAGGTGGAATGTCCTGGTAAAATGTCTTGGCCTACCCCCTCTCACATGACTAAAATGTGATCTCTGAATAAATAAACATTAAAAAGGGATATAAGAGAATAAACAGATTGCTGTTTAAGAAGATGTGTCACTCAGGGCAGAATCTGATGATTGTAATAGAAATGGATGAAAAGGTTAAAATTAAGTTTTCCTACAAAATTAGATTTACTGCATGTTGGGTAGTCTGCAGATGATCATGTGAGATCTTGCTATGATGGCACCTAATTTCAAACAGACCATTGAACATGTGGAAGACAGGCAGGTTTTATGCAGGTCTGTACCTCCCTCAAGTGGCCAAGAAACTATAAACCCAAAGCAGATTGTGCCATGAATCCACTTAGATCAGACCCCAACAGACAGCGCTACAATTAGCTGACATTTTTATTGATTTTGTTGTAAAGCTTCATCAAAATATGTGAATTTACCCAAAGTTCTGTGACTCAGTCTGGGGATGCGCAGTGTCACAAAGAGGACACAGCATTATATAGTTGATGGGATATAATGTGTAATATGATAATCAAACATGGTATTTATACTGTTATAAAACATTTTTTACAAAACCATAAAATACCTCTAAATAGAACAATATTACAACTTCAAAACCCCAGACAGCAAAGCTACAGCGGAACTGCAACATATTAAACACATGAACGACCCCTGGTGGCTCCACTTGGGAGTTTTTGGGACAAGTTTGAATCATTTCTGCTCCATATGAAAAGAAAAATAATAACATAACTAACACAATATTACTGACATATCTGATGTATGTAAACATCTGTTCTTATGTATGTTTTGTCCAGAGACATTTATATATGCATAAAAACCAATAAATTAAACATTTGGAGTTGGTGGAAGATGGTGAGAGACATAACCACATCATAAACATTTCAGGTGCGATTAAAAATGTAAAAAAGGTTTTTAAAATAGTAGACCAGGTTTAACTTTATAATGTGCAGTGTAATATAATCTTCAGCAATACAATATTTTTTTTTTGTATTTTTGGTAAGATAAATGTAAAAGGGTTAAAAGCACAAGTTATCTGTTGCAAGACCTCTCGATATTTTATCTGCTGACATGTGTTCATATGCTTTTTGGCTGCCCTGTAAAGATAAAAAGCATCAATGTCCATATAATTGTTCATTTATGCACATACATTATTAATTACACACATTATGCACATACGTCATCACTTCTGTTTGTCCACATAGTTTTGATGAACACAAATTATACAGTTTGTCTCTGTGTACTGTTCTTACATACAGTATTTTGTGAGCAAGTACAGCTTGTATCCAGATCCTTCACTTAAAATAAAAGCAGCAGCACATTACAGAGTTACTCCATTACAAGTAAAAGTCCTGCAATCAAACTGTCAGTAAGAGAACAGCATATTATGAGCAAAATGCCCCTCAGTGTGTTTAATCATCACAGGCTTTTTTGTGTTTTGTTATTAATCTGTAGCTTCAAAAATAAATGTAAAATGTACAATATGTGTATCCGAAATGTAGTAGAGCAGAATAATAACGCTTTGAATGGAATAAATGTAGCCCACTGGAGGAGGTTACAGTAAACTGGAGCCACACAGTAGTCACACAGTTGTTTATGGTGATATAATGCGAACAGCAGCGAGAAAGGAGGAGCCGGAGACACATCAGCAGCTGGAAAACACATTATGGTCTGTAATAGTAAAAGAATAGAAATAAAAACCCAAACACCAACAATTATTTTAACAATCCGAGGCCACATAAAGGTAAAAATCCGCCCCGTTTTGTAACCCTAAAAAGGCTGTAACTTAATAAAGGTCTGTTGATTTTCCGACAGTGGCTACCGTTGGGAAGAGGTCCGACTTCAAGGCACTGCCATCTGCAGATATGGTATCATGTGTCTCAGTGGAGACTTACTGGAAGTTACAGCATCTGGTGAAATGACTCAACATTACTCCGCCTACGTCTCGTTCTGTGGAAGTTTACCAACCCCATACTGAGTTGTAGTTTCTGTTTTAAAGGTGGCAGATAAATAGCACATTTATGCTCTATGTATTATATTGCTTCACTCATGAGACGTCATAGGCCGCAGAGCGCATGCTTTCGGCGTTGTGTAATCTTTGCATTAACAAACAGAGCACTGCCTGCACCAAAGTAAGAGTCTGGACAAGGTTCACATTTGGACCTGAGGATACTGTAGCTTCTTATTGTGCTGTGCAACAAAAACAAACAAACATAAGCAAACCTTTCTGCATCATCGTTATTGCTGAACAGCGGGCCTGATGTGAGTCTGCACTACAAAGCCTTTATGACATATCTCGGTCGTGTGTGAACTTGAACGTGAGGGCAGGAAATAAAGCGCGCTCCTCCTTGAGTGGCACATCGTGCGTAACAGGGAAGTGAGCCTAACCTACTTTCAGCGTTGTCAAAAGTTGTCTCTGCCCGGTGAGAGTTGCTCGGTGTTTAAAGTAGATTTTCCTTTGTTTTTAGCTCGGTTAAAACGTCGGCGATATTCAGCCTTTTCAAAGGGACAACGTCAGCATTAAATTGAGTGATGGAGGCAGGAAATGTGCAGTAGGATAGTCGGACTGTCGGAGTACTTATGAAACAGAGGAGGAGGAAGAAGCAACTGATCAGAGCGTTTTTCAATGTTTTGAAATCTACATTTATCCGAAGGTAAGAGCTATATTTTATTCAGTTTATATTTCTCTGTTGAATGTTGGGACCTGCAGCTGATGGGGCCTTAATAAAAGGAGGAAATAAAGGAGTCTGGCTGCGCCTGTCATGTTTTGATAGAAAGAAAAAAAACAACAAAAAAAAACAGGCTGTTGCAGGATGTATGTCGGCCTGAAATACAGCCTTATATCCTAATGCAGTTATGCAAGTGATAATGTCCACTTTTTTCCCCCTTTCACCACTTCAAATATCCTCCCACTGGGCTTTTAATCATTGTCTTGTGTTTCATGTAGACTTATTTGGAATTATGTTATAAACAAATCCACCAAGACTATTCTCTTTCTCAAATGTTAAGTCCCTCCCCCCCAGGCTCTGTGCCCCAATAGGCACATTTGTTTGATCGTCACTGTGTTCCTAGAAATCCTGTACAGCATATTGTTGTTCATGTTGCACTACTTAATTAATATTGATAGAATCGGTTCAATTTGAAAGAATTTGCAGGGGCAGAGAGGGGGTGGCACCTGGGGCTCCAGCCCTCAATGTTTTCTCAAAAGCCCCAAATTTTGTAGGCTTTTAAATAACCTAAACTTTGTGTCATTTCCCCTCAGTCTCTCTGACTGGAACAGAAAATCAGTTGAGCAAAACCTCTATTAATGCTCAGCTCAGCCCGAACACTGTTATGGGGGTTGTTGTCTTGTGTGTGTCCTGTTTGCTTCAGTCGTGCCACTTTAGTGAGCAAAGTCAGCTACTTTACTGGCTTATGGACTATGGACGTAATAAATAAATAAAACATAAACATATATTCAGTGAACTCTACTACAGTGTAAGGTCCAGTGTGTAAAATGTAAGGACGATCTATTGGCAGAAATTGAATATAATATTCATAGGTATGTTTTTTATTAGTGTAGAATCACCTGAATAAAGGAATGTTTTTGTTACCTTAGGATGAGCTGTTTTTATCCACAAACGCCATTTTTAACTGCTGTGTTTCTACAGTAACCTGGAACAGACAAACCAAACACTGGCTGTTTGTGGCCACTGTAGTTTCTCCTTCACACTTTACGGCCTGTTCTCATTCCCAGGTTGTCAAATACAGACGCGGGCAGTGTTTAGTTAGATCTGCAACGTCACTGCTGGATGCCACTTAATCCTACACACTGGTACTTTAACAAAAACAGGTTTCAAGATCAGCAATCCACATACCTCTGTTATGCAACCTAAAAATAACATCCTCAGACATTTTTTGTCCCTTTTAAGTGTGTCAGTTAGTCATCCTCAAAAACAATTAGATACAAAATAGGATGTTTTTTTTTGTTCTGGGCAACTTTCATGGTTTTTTCCCCCGAATGATGTTATTGCCATGAATGGGAAAAAATCTGGGAGAGCATTCCACGGAGCCCTCAGAGGTTTGGGCTTAACCCTGAATGTTTACAGCGTCTGGCTCACCAAATAACATGCAATAATATCCACTAATGCAGCTGGTTGCACTTCAGTTCCTACTTTGTCATCCTTGTACATTGATATAATTATTTGTAAAGTTGCATTAAACACCAGCGTGAAGGTGCAGCTACTGTTGTAAGATTGTGATTGTCGGTATTATTCGTCCTGCATGAACTAGTGAGGTGTTTCTACCGGGCACAACACACACACAAGGGCAAATAAGAGCAGCCGTTACGTTCCCTTTGTACGCAGGTATGTAAGTTTCATTTTCCTGAATCTGAGTTATGAAATCCAGATTTAGTAGAGCCAAGGTCAAGACAATAACAGGCAGCTGTGCAGCTCTGTTGAGTGCATCCTGGGCACCAGAGACGGTACGTGGCATTGGTCAAAAAGCTGAGGAGAATCATGACCCACCTCAGTGTGAACCGCAACTGCTTCCACAGCGCAAGAGTTTAAATGTTGACACCATAAAACTAGAAAGATCTGTTGGCTACAGCAATCCGGAGACAAATGAACAGACTCTGACATGAAAATGACCCATATAAAAAAAACAGAACTATGGCGCATATAATAATAGCTCATACTGAGGAGCTACAGCTGTTTTCCCAAGCCACACAGTGGTCCTTGAAAGAGCTACTCTCCGTCCTCCTCAGCAATACTCTTCTGCACCTCCCACACGCACACTGAGAGACAAAGGGGGAAATCTCTCGCTTTCCCTTTTAATCAATTCAGAAAAAATCGACTGATTCATGGTATGAATGTTGAGCCTACAAATGACAGATGATTGAATTCAAAGAAGAAATATATACATAAAAATCTCCAATATGACCTGAGAGATGTGTTTATAGAGGAAACAACTGTGTTGATCTAGTCTGCTTCCCTCCTCAGTTTTACTGAGGCTTCCTCCTTTTAAAAAAAAAAACCTATTGGTTTTTTTGTGGAGTTGTTCCGTTTCTGACTTGAAGGTTACAGGATGTTGTATGTTGTACAGACCGTAAAGCCCCCTTGAGGCGCATTGATTTGGGGTATAAAATTTGCTTGACTTAAAGCTGGTACACACATGTTTTTTTTTACTGCCAACAAAACTTTTCTTGGTGATCTCACCCAGAATTTAGTGAAGTTTAGCTTCACTTATCTGATGAAGGATGTTTTGGCATTTGATTTGTTATATTTGGTCTGCTGTCAGTAAACTGTTGCTGTTTGTGAGCAAAGGGCGCTTTGATCTGAGTTTTGCTTTGACCTCAATAATCAAATTAGATGTCAGAAAATGTTTATCACAAGTTCCCAGAACCCAAGATGATGTCTTCAAATTGTTGTTTTGCTGCAGTCCCCAAACTAAAAGTATGGCCATTTACTATCATATAAGGCAAAGAAAAGCAGCAAATCCTCACATTTGAGAATCTGGACCCAGAGAACTGTTGGCCTTACTGCTTAAAAACAAAGTTTCTGTTGATTGACTAATTAATTAATTGGCTAATCCTTTCAGCTCTAAATTGAATAGATTTGTACATAAATTATTTGCAGAGTCAGTGAAGAGCAGTGGGGGTGTGGTAGAAAGTGAGAGTATTAATTTAAAACCTATTAAAGGGTTTTTTGGGGGAGTTTTTACAGGATGTTTGTACAGATTGTAAAGCCCTTTGAGGCACATTGATTTGGGGTATAAAATTTGCATGACTTGTAGCTTGTACACACTGTTTTTTACTGCCAACAGAGCCCTTTTTGTGATCTCACCCAGATTTTAGGGAAGTTTAGCTTCACTTATCTCATGAAGGATGTTGAATGACTAATTGATTAATTGACTAATCATTTCAGCTCTAATTTCAATGAATTTGCACATAAATTATTTGTGCATATCGTGGTGAGCGTTTTCTCGAGTTTCTAGTATTTTATAGAAACAGTTGATTGACAAAATGAGAATTTTTAAAGAGAGCGGGAGGAAAGAGATTTGAAGGGCATTCATTTCCTTCGACTAGGGCAATATAATGGATTGATGTTCATTCTTTATTCATATTACAAGGCTTTCTAACTTGAAAAACATATAAGTTAAGAAGTCAAAACAATCCTGTCAGATTTCCCCAGAATTGATTTCTGAGAATGCCAGTGGAAAATGACCAGTATTGGTTTGACTTCCCATTATGCAGTGACATCATCTGCACCTTGTCACATGTAATTTTCCATAACAGTTTCACACACATGTATCTTCAGCCAGAAATGTAGCTAGAGTGGTGAGCGTATCTGTTTCTTCCCACTTTATTCTGTATTAAGAGTCTACTGAAGATTTAAGGTCTCTCTTTTTATTACTCAGTTAAAGGCTTCAGAGACTTAATTGTTGATTTTGGGCTATACAACATAAAACAGACTTGATGTGCGTCTATTTGATAGGATCAATATACCTTGACATGGTGCCACATCTGGATAACAACAGCTACGTGCAACGGATAGTCTTTATTTTTCTCTCACATGTTGCAGTCCTACATCAGTTGTGCATGCATAAAATATTTAGCAAGGCAAGGTACAAATAATCCACTCGCTGAAACAAAATGTGAGCCTGGATATCCATTCTTTTTAAACAATGCATCAAAAATGAATAATGAAAATAGAAATGGTAAAGAATACAAAAACAAACACAGAACATACAAATCAAAAGAGAGAAGAAACAAGTATTAACTAAAGTAGAATTAATAATAAAATAGCAAAACTTGAACCAGAAACTTGGGGTGTAGACTGATAATATTTAATACACATTTGCATTAAATAAATGATGAATGTAAAGATAAAATATACAATATCCAACTATTGCATATTTTCACAAACTTGTTCAGTCAAATAGAGAAAGTAAATAATCTCTGCTTCTGTTTTATATACAATTAACCCTCATTAGTTGCTCAATATAATGTTACATCTAACCTTTTGGGGGTAAAATCTGGGTCAAAACTTCACACCCCTTTAAAGGACTCCATACTGACAGACCAGATCTGTAGATTTCCCAAATCCTCCCCAATCATTATAGCTTGAACTGGACTCACCTGACATTTCACTTGACATTTTTCTGCTTTTAGACATTTTTGTAGAAACAGACGGGTCACATGAGGAAAGACTTGATTTGAACTGGTGTTTGTGCAGTTACGTGGCTTACGTGATTTTATGAGTTCAGACTGTGGAGAAGGAGGAAACTGTGCTGTACACCAGGGAGATGTATGTATGATTCAATTAAAGCACTGTGCACCACAGAGACTTGATTGACCTAGTGGTTTGTATTTAACATTTCCAAAGTGTTGTCTCAATATAAAAAAGTAAATTTATATTGTAGCTTCATATGGGGAATGTGTTGCAAATGGCAAATGGCCGATGCTGTGATGCTACTACAGCTCCCAAACTAGAGACAAGAGCTGCTGTTTTAAGGTCCAATGTGTAACATTTATGAGGATCTGTTGGCAGAAATGGAAAATAATATTCATAGATATGTTTTAATTAGTGTATATACCTTAGAGTGGGCTTTTTCTTCTACGCACTACACAGCCTGTTTTCATTCCCAGGTTGTCAAATACAGACGCCAGCAGTGTTGAGTTAGTTAGTTGCAGTCTGAAACCTCACCACTAAATCCTACACAGTGGTCCTTTCAGGCTAAACAGTTTCTGACTATGCCTCTCAGTCTGATGCTCGCAAGCACCTTGTGCAGAACAGAGCTTGTATTGGACACCAGACATAATATTTGCTGCACGACTGCCTTGCCTGTGTCCAACTGACCTCTCCAGAAACAGAAGTAAAAATGTGGTCATTTTGCCCAAATACTTAGTTTTAAGACGAATAGTAACATCTACATTAAACAAAAATGGGAAAGCGAAACCAACAGTTGCATCACAGAGGAGGTCTGGACCAAATATTGTGAATTTCAATGGAAGATATCAAGCTCAATCTCTTGGAGAGTGTTTGGCTGGAAGAGTCTCAGCAGATATTTTATGGTCATTTTGATAAAGTCACAGGAGTGGTTCACCCTTGGCAGCAATACTGTAGGCATAGCGACATGATGCATCACATCCTACTAACTGATGGGTCATGTTGCTATGACAAGAGGTAATAAGAAAGGCATGCATTGTTTTAATAAACACAACATGCGAGTATAACCACAACTGAGGCCTCTTTTCCATAAGATATTAGAAGCATTGCTTGACTCATTTGGCAGCTTTTATGTAGCAACCCAAGTTATTAGTGTGGTATTCTGCACATTAATTTGCTGAGGAAATTCCTGATGAGAGAAGCCAACTACTCTGTACTTCTTTTTCCTTCAGATCTTGACTCTGACCCAAGTAGACAAAGACAAATAGCTGTTGCACAAGTTGGTTGCTCATTTTCTATGTATGATAGATAGTGTTTTTAGTGTTTCTTGTAAAACACAGTGGGATTTTTTTTTGCAGGTAGCTAAGAACCTTCAAACTGGATGACAAGAATTGCTGGATTCAGTCCAAAAAGTTTTACAAAAAGGGGGGAGGGAGATGATATATAGCAAAGGGCTGCAGGTTGGTTTCAGTCTACATTGGGCCTGCATTGGCAGGCAAGCTAACGCACGCCCTGTTGCTCAATCTTTCATACTGATATGACAAAACATGAAATGACTTGAGGATTTTCTTGTTCTTGATCTTTCTTCTCACCTTTCAAAAGTTAAGACACTTAACTCATTTGTTGTCTAAGGGAACATGAACACCAAAACTAATTAAGAATGAAACAGGAAACAACTTACATAGTGAAAGACTGCACAGAGATGTCAAAGCTTTAAGATACAATGATGGTCAAAAGGATATTTACCTTAAGTGATAGTAGTTAGTGGAATGTTTTACAAATTAGAAGTACATAGGAGAAGCAAACAAAGCTCTCAGGATATACTTGCCAGCAACAAATTTAAGACATCTGTGTCTCTCCACAGCTGTGGTGTACATGTTTTGCAGACGGTTGTTTGGCCTACATGCAGTAGTTTTGAACTCTATTCTAGTTGTGTCAATGTTAAAAAATTGTATGAAAAGACCAAAACCAACAACAAGTTGATCGTACTGTGTATCCAAAATATGATATAACTTAATACTCTGTGTCATAGACGTCCATTTATCTCCAAAACGGTTAAAATCATATAAATAAGCCACACTGTTTTCGGTGAGTGACATAATCCTTCATTAGGATAATAGCTTATTTTCAATAAAGGCCATCCTGATGCCGTAAATACCTACTTGCACACCTAATGCATTTTAATCCACGGCTGAAAATAGTCCCTAAAAACGGTATCTTTTTCTCCTCCTTAACTTAATTTTACCTTTAATTTCCCCTTTGAATACTTTAAAAGTTGGATAAATCTTTCTCCACACCGTCTGACAGTATCACATATATTCTATAAGCTTACAGCTTGAAGCTATGGCGTTTATATTAAGTGAAATATTTAAGCTCAAATCTTGGCTACGTAAGTCCATCAAATGGAAAAACTTGTTCACCATTTCTTCAAAATTATCCTGTGTATTTGGAAACTTTGGGACCTCCACTAAAATGTAAAGCAAAGTTATGTGGGTTGAACAAAGTTTGGCTGCACTGCATGAGTTTTTACTAACTGCCTGTCTGCAGGACAGTGGGATTGTTGAGGTTAAAAATGAAACTAATTAGTATAGCCATTTTTAAAGATTTCTTTGGGAGTAACAAATGTGCTTGGGCTTAAGTGGGAAGGTACAGAGAGACTGACTTATGTATTGTTGGTTTTATTGTCAGTTTTTGTTTCATAACATATGCCTCAATCTTTATTGCCAGTGTGTGGGTGTGTTTTTGTTGTGTGTGCAATGATCAACAGATGTCCTGTGAATGTAGTGCAATTGAATAGTCATACATAATGTCTTTTTACTTTTACTTGTCTAGCCTTGCTTGATCATGGCCCAGTGGATTCACATGTCCCAGATGATACAATGCCTTCCTCATGAGACTGTCAACAACCTCTATCCCCCATCCGCCTTCCCCATTGAAGTCAGACATTTTTTAGCTGAATGGATTGAGAACCAAAGATGGTATGACACAAACACGTACACGCATACTACATTTACATACATGTACACACAAACAGTTACACAGATATGCTCGGATATATACACTATGTGCATGCGTATCCTTGATGCATAGTGTGTTCTTGTTCATTCGTAACCTTGTTTGTGGATCTATATGCATGTTTACATGTACATCCTATTTATGCATGTGCGTGCGTGCTCACAGGGAAGACTTTGCACTGGAGAAGGTGGAACAGGAGAGCCAGGCTAGGGCTCTGTTGGACCAGACCATCAGCTTGCTACAATCAATTGCTCAGGAGAATGCCAACGTGGTGGACAGGATGAAGCTGATGCAGATCAGCAGGAACATGGTACGGGGACTGTGTCACTCAGTAGCTCCCAGGACCTCCCTTGATCCCTGACAGGTTTCATTAAAAAAGTGTCACTCCGTGCTCGTGCTGTTTGCATTTGAGGTTGCAGACAATTGAATGCAGTTTCTTAAAGCCAATACGTAGAATTCCAAACAGCTACCTGAAGTCACAGCAGGTTTGAGTGACTACCGACAAAACCAAAGACAGGAAGATTGCTTTTTCAAATGGAGAAAAACATTGCGTTGCTTATGACTAATTTCAGGTATTCCTGTGGTTTTAGAGATGGTGAGAAGTGCCCACAACTTTCTATAAGTTCTATAAGGGTTCCGAAAAAAGCCACAGGCTACATACAATCTGATAATCTCAAGACACCAAAGAAAAAATGAATGCCTCTTAGGAATTCATAACCACATAAGCTTCTTTAAATATGTTTGTGCCAACCTGCTACATCATGTAGTTGCCACTAGAGATGTGTCATCTATGACATGAACTAAATAAACCACTGCATACGGGTAGGTCCAGTGTTTTTTTAAAAGATTTTATAAGACGTGCTTGCTTTGCAGGCCATGTTTCAGCAGCAGCCTCTACAGTTTGGAGTGATGGTCAGGGACATCCTCAGGAAGGAGAGGGTTCTGATCAGTACGGTAAGTTCCTTTGTAACAACTAGTATCTGTAATTTAACTGCAGGCTTCACCCTAATAAGCTCAACCCCAAGAGGCTTGATCTCAGAGTGCATATTATAGGTGACATTATGAAGTAGATGTCATAACAAATACAGGAAAAAGGAATATGTGCAATCAAAAGTCTTACACCAAACCATAGCAGTGTAACTTGGACTTTGAACTTTGAAGTTTTTCAATGTAAATATTACATATGTAGATTTATTTCCTAACTTCAAGGCAGCCATTGATATCAGTTTATTTCAGTAGTCCATGAAAATAAACTTGCCCAGAGTTGAAACTTGCCTGAGAAAGTTTGAAATCATTTTGAAATCTCAAGAAACAAATAATATGGAAAACCACCCTACTGGAAGTGTATTAAGTGCTGTTCCATGACTGTAGCCCGCTCAGGTGCCCGACCCTCCACAGTTCCCCAGTATGCAGGACGTAGACCACCTGGTTCTGAATGTGCTGGATGTCCAGGAAATCCGACAAAAGATGCACCAGTTGCAAGAAGAGCTCAACTGGGAAAGACAAAACTATGAGGGTTTACAAGGTGAGACACACAGGTGACCGAAGACATATTCCTTTCAGTAACATACTCCTTCATGTTTACAATCCTAAACACCACCATTGTAAAAGTGCCAATAAACTCTAGTGACGCAACTGGAGCTTACATAAGCACCTTACCGTAGATTTTGAAATTGAAGTATCATTATTTTAGTTCCTTTTTTTCAAGTTTAATTTATTTTTTCATTTTATTTTCAATTTAGTTTTCTGAGCTCTTCCAAACATTTGTATTTGAGTTTTTAGTTTCATTTCTTTCTATTTTAGAAACCTATTTAAGTTAAGATTTGGCTTAGTTTGGAAAAAGGAAGTGCATTCATAAACACATTCTCATTTCTAGAACTGAAATAGTTAGTGGTCTAATCGAGTAGCTAGTTATTGACAAAGTAAATAAATGAGGAAGTATTTAGCAGATTAATAAGTAGTGAAATTAATTGTTAGTTGCAGTCCAACTCAGTTTTATCAATAATAACTCCTTGGTTTGAATTTAGTTGCAGGAAATTTAGTGACATCCAGGTTTAAATATCAGAAAGACAGTTGTGTAGAGTAGCAAGATAGACAGTGTTGGCAGATACAGCACTGTGAGTCACTGATGTAGGAATGAAACCTGACATTATGTCTCTGAATGACAGAGGTGTAACAAGTAAATATAAAATAGTGATGAGCCAAGAATGGAGCCTTGAGATACCCCTCATGCCATCACTGCCTCTGATCTGGCCACCAAGATTTTTGTTTTGCAGAAAGTATGTTTAGTATGTAAAGTATGAAAGTATGTTCAAGCTAACATACATTCGTATGTGTAGTTTAAGTGTGAAATGCCTCATCGATTTTAGGTGATCGATGTCAGGTGTTAAAAGCAGCTACCAGAGCTGCTACTTCCACCACATAATTTTTTTAAATTCTTCTTCCTACTCATGATTTGATTACCTTTTTGTTTAATACTGCTCATTTGGAAATCCCCACATGCTATTTATGGATTAACAGTGTCCTCCCATCTGCAAATAAAGAAGAGACAGAGACATTTGTTGATATTCTGTTTCATTGTGACATACATGAATTTGTTATATCTATCTTTTAAAATAATTGTTCAGTGTACAGTGCAGGTAGTACTATCCATATCAGCTGTACATGATGGCCAGATTTTGGCAAATCTTACTGTATTTTGCGTGCCCTTGTTTTTTGTCTGTGTGGCCTGACCCATGTTGCTCTTTTATCTGTCAGGGTTAAGAGGTTTTTTATTCCTAGTTACTATCAGTATTCCCTAATGCAAAACAACTCCCATCCTGTCAGAAATGACTGTTTTGGTTCTTTGGCATTCTTTTAAAGTTTTTCTTGGGTAGGTGTCAAGGAACATTTTCATAGTGGTTCATAGATAATTTATGTGGGTTTGTCCATCCAAGTTCAGCACATTTTTTCTTCTGTTAAAGGAAATGCAGTAGCATCCTGTTGTGCACAATATACTCAACATACTACAACCTCTTTTATTGTGTTCACAGGGCCGATCCAACAGAATGGACTGGATCCCACAAATTCAGAAATCCAGAGACTCCAGAAACACATCCAGCAGCTGGAGTACAATGTGAAAGAAATGGCCACGGTGAGTATGACAGTGGCTTATGCTGCACCTAAGAGGGGAATTACTTCTTGTTTTCTATAAATGTCTGAAGAAATTAAAGTTGTCAACAAAACGTACCAAAAAAGCAGCTGATTTTGCCCAGTAGACAGATTATTATAAAGTTTCTAAATTATACTGTTCAATTATGCTTTTTTAGTAGTCTGATGTTACTTATCTCACTAAAGTAGATTACGAATGTCTCTTGTCTATTTTATGGATGAATACCGATTATGATGATATTAGTGTAAACTAGAGCTGAAACACCAAACTGTTAAAATAGTTTATTGTTTTAAGTAAATAAATACTATTAGAAAAAAATTTAATGAGTAATGTGTTTGGATGTTGGTTGTTGTAGAAACGTTTCCAGCTGCTGAAGAAGTGTGTGGACTGTCTGGACCAGTGTCAGACCCGACTGATCAGCAGACTGAAGGCGTGGAGGTGGGAGCAGCACAAGGCTACTATCGGACATCCCTTTGACGACAATCTCAACCCCCTGCAGACCTGGTGAGGTGCACCCCACCACACTTGTTCCCTTCCGGACTGTCTCTGTGTTTTATTGTATTGTAGTAAAATCACACACTTAAGGAATCATAAGCAAGACAACCTTTGACACTTTGTGGGCGGCAGTAGCTCAGTGTGTAGGGACTTGGCTTGGGAACCGGGGGGTCGCTGGTTCAAGTCACACAGACCACAAAATATGGAGTATGGACTGGTAGCTGGAGTGGTGCCAGTTTCACCTCCTGTGCACTGCTGAGGTGCCATTGAGCAAAAAACTGCTCATGGGG